ATTCTCTCTGTTAAGGTTTAATCTCCCTCCTTCTCTAGTCTGTTACCTCTTATACTTACACTCTCTCTAAATTCTGTTTTTGTTTCCGGCGTTGTTTTTTCTGTTTTCTTTTTGAATTTGTAGGTCTGATGAATTGGATCATATTTACGATTCCAATGGAATAAATTATGACCATGGAATATTAGTGTTTAAGCCTTTTTTTTATATATATATATATATATATATATATATATATATATATATATATATATATATGGGAAAAGGATATAAATTTTTATGTATCTGAACAATTTTATGAAAATCTATGAGAATGCGGAAAAATATTCATGTGATGCATTTTTGCCCTTTAGGACTTCATTGATGAGATTACACACATGCATGTAGGTGGGGATGCTGAAATTTAAAATTTTTACATATGTGTTCATGTATATAGTCTATGAAATCATCTAGGCTGCCATCTTGGAGAGGAGATATGACATAAATGTTCAGCAATCATTTCTTTGATTCTGATGATATTTTTCTATAGAATGATATCAACATTGCTTGAAGTCTCCTCTTTATCTCTGAAAAAATTGTCCACTGACATATTGGAAAATTAAAGATTACATAACAGTTATGTTCGTTCATGAATTTTAAAAATGATGTGGCTATACAAACTTATTGAATTATTAATTATTTCAACTGCTGTTGAAAAGAATTTATCTAAGCATAACTGTTTCTAATCATATTTTTCAGTAGAGTTACATGTTCATGTCTATTCTTTATCTGTGAAGAAATTGTTTAGCATATAAGTTATTACATAGCAGTCCAGTATTATGTCCATGGTCACTAAGGACATTTTTAACACTTAATAAGAAGCCAGGTGCAAACAAATGTGAACTCCATTAGTCAATCAGCCTAATAAGTCATATAACAAAACTTATCATTCAAATTCTGATGAATAAATCATGCAACAGAAATAGACTAGAAATTGGACAAGAACAGTACAGGTTCGTTAAAGATACAGGAACAAAGAATGTGATGTTTATACTCACAGATGATATCAGAAAGAACAATGCAAAAGCTGAAGGATATGTACCTTTGTTTTATCAATTATACAAACACATTTGATAAAGTACATCACAAGAACTAAGTAACCTTGACATATATGGAAAGAATATTAGAATAATCTAGAACTTATAATGGCACCAACCACCTTCATATGGATTGAAAATGAATTAAGTAAATATACAAAAATAGAAAGGGTTATAAGACAAGGACATGTCTTCTCACCAGACTTATTCAACCTATTCAGTGAGGCAACTCTGAGAGAAATAAAAGTCCTACTATTAATTAAGTCACCACAATCTTAACAAAATAAGATAAACTAGCATCTATCTATTTATTTTTTACCATCAAGTCATGTGATACAATTTTCCAGCCATACAGATTATGTTTTACAATGACACACCCTATAAAGTAGTGGCCAAACACCTGAGACATTTGTTTATAAAAAAAAAATGATCTTATGTAATGTTGGAAATTGTACAAATATGTTGTGTTATGTATATTTAAATTTATTTAATAATGTTGTTATAATGTATTATGGATGTTCATTATTTTTCACACATGTAGTAGTCAGAATATAATATGCAAATGTTTGATTATATATAAGAATGTGTATTGCAAATACTGAATTTCCTTTTAAAAATGCCATAAAAACAGAAAAACGGCCAGAGCTCAAGAACATCTTGGTTAAGTTAAATGAAATTTGGCAGCAAATATGATTTGATTATAGTAGTGATTATAGTGGTGAAGGCTTTGTGCAGAACCAACCACACTTTTTGAAGGGTCAAATACAGAGACCTGGTGCACTACATGCCACAAGGTCCCCAAACAAACCACCGCAGGTTTTGAATTCAGAGTTGTCTTTCTCCTAGACCAGTTGCCATCCAAGGCTATAAAAGCCAGTCTGTCCTGCTATTTACCTATAGCTGGAGGGAGAATAAGAGGATTCATACCTTTCCAAAGTGTATTACCACATAAGGTGAATGTAATGGATTTGTCTGTAATTCAAACTCAGCTCTCCTATTCTTCAATCCAAGCCACAATCCATTACTCTACCATGCCTCTTCACTCACACATACACACACACACAGATTATTATTATATATATATATATATATATATATATATATATATATATATATATATAAAATTGCTATGCAATAAAAGTCCTTTTAGATGGCAGTAAATACTGAACAATTTCCTCCAACAGAAATCTGGTTCTAGAAAGCGGCTCAGAATATCATGGATGGAACATAAGGGTAGAAAATTTAATTTTTAAGAAGTTAGAAAAAAAATGACACTTATATTTAAACTCAGAAAGAGACAATTGAAATTTTGTAGGCACATAATGAGGAAAGAGGGCTTGGAAAATTTGACACTGACAGAAAATACAGCATACAAGAGGGCCAGAAAGAAACAATAAGTAAAACTAATTAATGAGCTTGTATAAGTGGCTTACAGAATAGACAGTGAGAGAGATAGTAAAATGACAAATATTGCTATGAGTCACAAAGGATAAGAAATTGTGGAGAACCATGACTGCTTACAACAGTTAACGTTTAATCCTTCCTTCTTGCTTTCATTGACTTCCTTTCCTGTCACAATTAAAACAACCAACTCACAACATTTTTATTCTTTAGAGTGATTTACATTAATGTCAAGGTGCAGAAAAGGACAGGCTTTCTGATACAATCAGACTGTAGCAAATAATAATGGGATGTAGGTCAAAGCCTCTTCGATGTTCCCTGTCGTTCAGACAGTGGACGTTCATTATTATCACTTCGACTTTGTATAATTGCTGGGAGTTACAAGCTACATGCATCAATAAGCTTCAATGCCAAGTGTTATGTCAGTTTGTCAAACAAACAATGATTTTGTTCCAGTTACATTCTGACATTACACCCAGTGTTTATTGTTACAGACACTGACAATAAAGCAATTATTAAATTTTTGCAGATCTTCGGACTAATGTTTCAGACACTTATTAGCACTGATCCTTCTGTATATTTTCTGTCTTTAATTGCAATGTCATCTTAGGATGTAGGAAATTACGGCTCTCCACAGCTACCAGTGACTTTAATATCTATCAATTGTGCATTATTATGATTGATCATTTTAAGTATAGTGAAATTATTTTGCATTGCTTTTTTGCTACAAATGATTGTATGAAGTTCAAGAAATTAATGGATTCCACGCCCAACTTACAAAAATGTAAATATTGCTTCAAATATGTAAGTGTATGAAAATTCTAGTTTTTCTATATGGAATTCAGATAGTTAAAATTAATCCCTTGAAGTACATTCAATGTAGAGAATAATGTTCTTTTTCTAATTAAGGTGGATTTGTAACATCAAACATTAAGATTGTAGTGATATTGGATTAATGAAGATTATGGAAAGAAGCTGTTTCAGTGGAACTTATATCTCACCAATGGAATATGAAGGGACTAAGCGTGGTTTGCTACAATGTGTATTGCATGGTGGGTCATTGCTCTGACTATTAGAACTAGTGGAATTAAGCAATGTAGTTCATTGGAACACTTTCCATAGAAATTGAAATATAATAGGGAGAGTCTTGCAATGTTTTGTCTGTGGGGAAAGGGAGTGTAGGATGGAAAATAATTCATCACCCATAAGGCTGTGTAAATGCTTTTGGACTCTGTCAAGACTGAAAAGTGTAAAATTAATAGAATAAAAAAAAATGAGAAGAGTTGTAGGTGAACCATTATTGCTGAGAGTAAAAAAGACAGGAAAATCACAGCTTATATAGTAAAATAGAGATGAATATATTTTATATATCAGGTGCAGATTATTGCTGAAAGTAAGAAAAAGACAGGAAAATGTGGAGGGACATGATCACACATATCACATACAGATTTCTAGAAAAATACCCAGACTTTTCCATCATTATAAATATGGAAGAGGTAATTAATTTTTCTTATAAGGATTTGCAACATTTTGGATGAACTGTTCAGTCAGAATAAAAAATTTGTTTATGTTAATTCTTTCAAGAACTCCCAATAAAACAATTCCCAAATTCTTACCCCAGGTTTTCAGACTATTAAGAATAGCAAAGCATGATACCTTCTTGTCAAATTTACGCATAGTTCCTGTAAACAAACATCTGATTGGCTGTGCTTTCAGCAAATAAAATCCCTGCATCATAAACTGCTTGACTGTAGCTAAAACTAAAAAAAAAGAAAAATAGACAATAAAAATCATTGTAACAACAGACCATGTGGAATACAAAGATTGTTTTCAGACACAATGCCATGACCTAACATGTTTTGTACTTAAGAAGCTGTTTATACTGCTGATTTCATATCCAAAGCCCCATGCCTTGGAAATTCACGCATGAGTAATTTGGATCATGTGCCACCCATGAAGAATCAAAAGGTGACATTATCATTTCGACTTCACCAATGACTTTTTATAAAGAAAGAGTAAACTCGAAAATGCAGTGGTGTGTCTAATGCTCTGTGCTGAGTCCCAAGTGTAATAAAGAGAACCTGGGTATTGAAAAATGAAGGGGTCACATGCTGATCATAGAGAAATGCTCGATAAAGAAGTTTTTATGGATGTTGTAGAGGAGGAAATGTGGGGCGAGGTTGTAGAAGTGTGGAACAGAGTAAAGAGAATATAAAGGACTAGAAAATGGAGAGATAAAGAGAAAGAGAGTGAGCAAAAGAAAGTAGAAGGGGCAAAGAGAGGTAGAAAGAAAGAGAGAGCACAAAAGTAGAAGGGACAATGAGAAGGAGAGAGAAAGTGAGTGAGAGAGAGAGCAGAAGAAAGTTGAAAGGGCAACGCAAATGAGAGAGAAAGAAAGAGAGAGAGAGTAGAATAAAGTAGAAGCAATGAAAATAAGAGAGAAAGAGAGAGAGAGCAGAAAGAAGTAGAAGGAGAAATGAGAGGAAGAAAGCAATGGACAATGAGAAGGAGAGAGAAATTACAGACAAAAAAAGGCAGAGATATAAAGAAGAAAGAGGAAGAAGGAAAAAAGCAGAAAATGGAGAAAATCTTTATCAAGAATAAAAGACAAAAAAAAGGAAGATGATGAGTGATTGAAGAATGAGGAGGAATGAGAAATTATAGATGAGGGAAAGCAAAAAAGAAGAAGAGAACAACAGGAAATAAGAGAGGGTGGTAAAGATGGGAAAAGAAGAAGAGTTTTAATAGGGAAAAAGAAAGAAACTACAGACATACAATGTTTTAAATGGAATGCATGAAAGGAAAGATGTAAATTGCAAGAAAAAGAAATAAGTGAAATCAAGGCATTAAAGCCACTGAGATGCAAGGGATTACTGGGCATGGAAGAGTTAGAAACAGAAATATTGCCAAAGAGCAAGAACAAAAGAAGAGTAATCAGGAATATAGTAGATAGTGATTGACATTCCTATAAAATTTTTAAAAATAAAAGTCTGCTGGAAAGCATGGCGCCAGAAGGGAGTTCCACAAGAGAGAAGTGCAAGAAAAGAAACTGTTAGCATAGATTTTAGACCTACATCTAGCCAGCTTAACTTTAATTTGAGGCGATCTTGATACCAGTTTAGTACTGCACTTAAATTCAAAAAGTCTAGGCACCAAAGTGAAGAGCTCATCCAAACAATTACCAAAAAATATTTATAGAAAAGTTATAGGGAGGTAACTGTTTTAAGAAATGAGTACTGAACTCTTAGGTCATATCTATTCTGTATGACAGTGAGTGCTGGACAATTTCTCCATATTGGAAGAGGAGACTTGAGGCAACAAAGATATCATTTGATAAAAGGATACTGAGAACACAGTTGATAGAGCTTGTGATAAGTTTTAAAGAAAATGGAAACAAAAAGAAAATTACACTGAAAATCAGAAAGAGATAGTTCTGGGAGACATAATGAGAAAAGATGGCATGGAAAATTTAGCACTCATAGGATGTATTGATTGCAAGAGGGACAGAGTAAAGCAGTACGTTTGTCCAAATGGATGGTAGAACAGGGAAGAGAAGTGATAGTAAAAACTGAACATTACTGAGAGTTATGAAGAATAGGAAATTGTGGAGATCCATGATCGCTCATGTCCTGAAGGGAAAACAGCAAATTGAAGAAGAATAAGCAAATATATTACAAAATTTCTATAGAAACAAAGAAAAGAGTGTCAATCTCTTATGCCATATCTAAACAAGTACAGAAGTTTAAATATCTAAGAATTGTTTTAACAGATGACGGAAAACATTAAACTGAAATCTGAAGGTACATTGAAATAGCAAAAGATGCTTTCCAAAAACTAAACATATTAATAGTGTTATGGGATCTTACCCATAATAATAATAATGGACTATTCCATACTTAATAAATACTGCACCTCAGGAGTAGGCAAGTAGTTCAAGTCGAGTTAGAGGCAGTCTAAAACAGAGTCGCGTTCAGACTATTACTGCAAGACATTGGAATAGTGATACTGGTCAAGACTACATTGTTCTCTCTACTAAACCTGATTGTTCATACTAACACTTCTACTTCTCTGTATATATTCCTGTTTGTAATATATCTGTGTTATTCCTTACCTGTGTTCATGGTCTTCTTTATTGGTTCTACCTTAGACTATCACCGTGGTACAAGGAACTGGACCATAACAATAACCTTATGGCAATGAGAAAAAGACTGAATCTGAGCTGCCAGAACAGGGCCAATAATATTACTGATTCTTCTTTGGATTTTATCTAGGGCTTTTTTTAGACAAATAGCAGGACCATATATAGCAGCAATATTCTATACATAGGTGAATGGTAGACATATATATATATATATATATATATATATATATATATATATAAGATAGATTCTAGAGAAAAAAATTGTCTAGCAGGATACAGTGAGCCAACTTTCTTAGCAGCTGGCCAAGCAATGAATTCCATATAATCTAAGCATAATAATAACTATGCTACAGTAGGCACCCAATCTTTATTGCTTATTAAATAGTATTTGGCATATTTAAGTATGTTTCATTTTATTCTTTTCTATTCTTTTTTTCCTTATGTTTGCTTCAAGATATCTTTTCTGATGTTGGAAAATTGTTTGTTATTCTAAAATCTTATTTGAAGGCCCTCATCTTTATAAAGTATGACATCAAATAACATTTCCTATATCTAAAACTTCCTTATGAAAATTGAAAACATTTTACTGCAAGACTGAATGTATCCGTTCAGAGAAGAATGGGATTGAAAAAAATCAATAGATATATGGATAGATATGCACAAACATAGATAGATAAACAGATAGATATGAACAAACCTAACCCGATAGATAGGTAGATAGATATGAATAGACTGAGATAGATAGATAGAGAGAAATAGATATATATATATAGAGAGAGAGAGACAGACAGATAGATATAATTAAGTGATGGTGATGGCACCAGTTTTCAAATTTGTTTATTGGAAAAGATATGACCAACTCAAAACAGATTGATATATATGAACAAACTAAAACAGATAGATAGATAGATAGATAGATAGATAGATAGATATGGATGGATTGAAATAGATAGATTTTCTTTAAAACGTAGATGGGTGACATTTCTGAGCATTCTTCAAGCACTGAAAAAGCTCACACTCACTCATTGGTTACTCTCTTTAAACTCTCCTGTCCAATTCATCCCATATTAATTTAATGGGAGAGTATTCAGGAGATTGAGATGACCAAGTCATAATTTACAAAAGTTTTTTTGTGTTAAGGTAATTTTAGCACAACTTAAATATGTGTTTTGGATTGTTGAAATGTGAATTGTTTCCAATTATGCATAAACCAGATGCTAATAGCATATCTTTGCAAAATTGAATAATATTGTCCTTGTTTTAATGATGCCCTGGACCTGAATCTCCAACCTTCTATCCCCCAAAATGCCACTACACCATAACAGACCTACCACTATTGCTTAACTGTTAGAACCGCGCATTTATCATTCTTTTCCCTGGCTTTCTTCTCACATAAACCCTACTCTTACTGCCAAAAGTTCACATTTGATCACATCTGTCTACAATACATTTCAACATTCCTTCAGTGTTCAATTTTTATGCTTTTTTGCCCATAACGAACTTTTCTGCTTATCCACCTTTTTGTAACAGGGAGTTCTTGATGTCTATGCACCACCTGAGACCTGCTAATCTTAGTCGATTTTTCCCTGGTTGAAAGCAACATTGGTTACTGTCGAGAGGAATTAAGTTCAGCTGTCAACAGCGGAACAGTCTCCCTTACATTTCTTTCGCTCTCAATATTCAAGTGTATACCTTCAGCAACAGTTGTCAATTGCAGTGCTATAGCTCTTTTTCTCTCAAATTTGGTGCCAGTTTCTAACTGCCATTGTAATGAATATTGCACCCAATGTCTAGAAATCTTCAACTTCTTGCCAATTTATCTTTAAGCGTAGATTCTTTAATAAAATTTCAGCTTGTAGCCTCGATGCTTAGTTGAAAAGTCTACTAAGGGGTTAAATGTGAATAACAAACTATAATATTTCTCATACAAATTATTAATAATTTAGCCAAATGTACTACTGTGGACAGATGAATCCAAATTTGAACTTTTTGGTAATATCACAAACCAGGAGAAAGACTGAAAAATAAAAGCAAATACACTGTATGTACTAAGATTTTAACTTTTACTTTAAAAAATATCTCATTTTAATTTATTTTTAAACATTTTGCTTATATATATATATATATATATATATATATATATATATATATATTTTGAACAATAAAAAATATTAAAAAATTAAAATCTTCAGACACACTGGGTTGTATATTTATTATTTTATTATTATTTCATTTAGATTCCTTGACTAGTTTCAGCCAATATGGCCATCATCAGGAGAAAAAAAATTCTGCTTGCTGGTAGCAGTGAACTACAGAAATGAATGTCTTGATGGAGAAAATGAATTTTTGTCTGTAGTTTTGATTTTTTTTTTTTTAACATGTATTTTGGTCAGTCCTTGTGTTGGTCAGACAGTTTCTTTTAAGTTGTTATTTAAGATATATATATATATATATATATATATGCAATAAGCAATAAAAAAAGTTGGCAAAGCAACAGTAATCAGGCAAAATGTTCACAAAGTAGAATGATGTTCACACACAAAAGAGATACAGACAAATGATTGTAACATTCTGACTTCAAGACAAGAAAAAACAATATGGTAGTTAAAACCAAGAAGTGGTCTGTTTTATTGGTTAGAAAGAATTCCGAGCATATATCTGTATGATTTGTTTATAAATTTGGGGAGGGGGATGTTACAGTTTTTTGTGTATATATATATGTGACTAGTGAGTTAGTGAAAATGACTTAATTCCCTTTATAGTCTACCGATAGAAGATTAACCAATCAGAAACTGCAGAACATTGTATCCGGTGTGTATAAAGGCGGCCATCTTTGTTTATCCTACCAGAATGACCAGAGCCAACATGTCAGGCGAACATGACAGACGGAAGAACTACGCTCTGCTACTTTGCTGCGATATCCACTGCGAACCTGAACTACGCTTTCCTACTGTCTCCGAAATATTCACTGCTAACCTCTGGATTCTATACTTGAAAACGACCATCATGAATTTGTAACAGAGGATGTTTTTGCAGTCATTTCTTTTGAATTGGAACCAACAAAGTCCTTTATGGTTTTTAGTTCCCGTCTGTAAGGTCTGATTTAAGCTTGTGATTCTTTATGTGATTCATCAGCTGCTTGAATTGATTAATAATCATTAATCTGAGAAGGTGGCTGTGTAGATATTTCTAATCAAATTGAATGCCATTATGATATCCATATAAGAGTGTAGCTCTGATAAGGCTAATTAAGAACATGATTCAAATTCCTTGGTTAATATTTTTTTATAACATTATGCAACATTGGATAAAACTAACCATCTATAGTCTACTCTTTTTTTAATTTCCTTATCTTATAGACTTCAAATTTCAAATACTCTCATTTTTTATGTGTGTACTAGTTTAATGGATATTGTCTCGCAATGGGAAATTGGAAAGCTGAGTTCTAATTCCTGTCAGGTTCTTTATATTCACTTACACTGAAATATCTTTAGGAAAAGGTATGAATCCTTCTCTTCCCCCTCAAAGCTATGAACTTCATAGCAGGACAGACTGGGTCCTAAAGCCTTGGCTTGTAAACAGTATACCACGGACTACTGCGGGAAAAAACTTCTTTCTAGTTAGTCATGAATCAAAAGAGACATGATTGCTGAAGCATGTATCAGGTATGGCACTTAATTGACTGACTCTCATTTCAATTTCAGACCATAGTTTCTGTTTCGAACATTTGGTAAAGAATTTTGATTTGTTTCTTCAAGAACATTCATATGAATAACTGTGTAGTGAGTCCTGGTAAAAAATAAAATGAAAAGAATTAAAATTAAAATAAGGCATTTGCGCTTCCCTTTAAAGCCCTTATCTCTTTTTTTCACTTTCTCTCTCCCTCCCTCTCTCTCAACTAATGAGAAGGCGACCCTCAAACACCAGAAAGCGGCTGGAGAATGCAAGGATTGAAATGAAAAGTTTCTTGAAACCAAAAATGATAGATAGATAGATAGATAGATAGATAGATAGATAGATAGATAGATAGATAGATTTAAATGAACTGAGATAGATACTGTGGTAATAAACTATACACTATAACAAAATAAATGTTTTCAGTGGTAGAGCTTCATCAGCTTCTATTTAGAGTTGTGGTTATTATATAGATATCAATCAACTTAGATAGATCGATAGATAGATAGATAGATATGAACAGAATGAGATAGATAGATAGATAGATAGATAGATAGATAGATAGATAGATAGATATGAACAAACCAAGCAGATAGATAAGCGATAAATAGATAGATAGATAGAAAGAAATAGACTGAGATAAATAGATAGTCATATAGATAGATAGAGAAATAGAAAGATAGATTAACAGATATATGGATAGAAATAGACAGAGACAGATATATGCAAAGATAGTTGATAGATTCAATATTTTTTGAAATCCCCTGAATGTTATCCAGACAGACAAGTACCTGAAGAAGGTTAGAGGAAAGAAGGACTAAATTCTCACAAATAATAATGGCAAAGATGCCATTTAAATTGTCATTCAAAAATACATTTTAAATTTAGTTAACCTAGATAGAAATAACCTGGCTGATTCGTTAAAATAGCCAGACACCAAAATCATTTATCTATTCATAAATGTCTTCCATCATGACTCTAAGCAATTTCAGAATGTGTTGTATTTGGAGCTGTCTCAGAAATATTTGGCATTCAATCCAGTTACAAGCCTTTTACTATCAGAGCAGTGATTAGGAATTTAATTAGATTTCAAAATTATTTCTGATTTAGATGATTTGTATTATTCATCCCTGGTTTGGAAAATCAGCCAACTTACATCTTATGAAACAGCATGCACGTATGACTAGTTACATAAACACACACATTTCTAGTATATGTGTGTGTGTGTGTGTGTGTGTGTGTGTGTGTGTGTGTGTGTGTGTGTGTGTGTGCGTGTGTGTGAAGTGGGTGTTGAATAGTTTTGGGCCTGACCAAGAAGCCATCTTCTCCAAATTCTGGTATTTGTTCATTGATCTGATTTGTGGAAAGTATTTTTTTTAATCAGTTCACCCCAAGCACAGCAATAGAAGGGTTCAACTGAGAAGAAAAGAAAATGAAAAAAAGACTTTAGAAGGAAACAGAAATCAAATCCTAAACAGGAATCAAGGGATAAACCTCTACTCTGATTAAAAAAAATTGCGAGGCATGTGAACTGGATGATAAGTGAACCTATCTACTCCTATTGAGGAAAGAGAAAATGCTAAATAAAATTTCAATGTTTTAGGCAAAGACATTAGAAATATAGAGTTGAAGTAGATTTTAGAAGGAAGTAGAAACACAAACAGGAAAAAGAAATAAACCTATACATATATATACACACACATATATATATATATATATATATATATATATATATATATGAATAATATGTGTATGTATGATATATATAAATATGTATATATATGTATGAATGTTAAATATATATATATGTGTATAAATGATATATATATGTATGAATGATATATATATATATATGCATGTATAATGATATATATATGTATAATGTATATATATATATATATATATATATATATATATATATGCCTGAATGATATATATATATGAATATATATATATATATATATATATATATATATATATATATATATACATACATATATATATATGTATGAATAATATACATAGATATGTGTATGAATTTATATATATATATATATGAATAAAGTACATATATATATGTATGAATGATACGTATATATATGTGTATAAATGATATATATATGTATGAATGATATATATATATATATGAGTGAATATATATATATATATATATATATATATATATATGTGTGTGTGTGTGTGTGTGTGTGTGTATGCATGAATGATATGTATATGATAAAAATATAGTTTACAGTATGCTGTATTTTTGGGTAAAATTGCTCAACAGCAGAAATAGTGAGTTTGGAAAGATAAAAGTAGATGCTGTGATCGACACCAAGAAGCCAAAATTATAAAACAAGTTATTGCTGCTTGATGTTAACTTCAGTGTTTACTTTTATACATACATACGTACATACATACATACATATATATATATATATATATATATATATATGATAAAAATATAGTTTTAAGGTATGCTAAATTTATGATTTAAAATGATAAATATTAGGGATAGAGTATATAAAAGTGGACATTGAGGTCAACACCAAGTGGTGACAGTTTCATGTTTGAATGAAATCTTCAGGCCATGAACATTGAATTCAAGAATGAAATAGACTGTTGCCCCTTAGTGTTGATCTCAGTACCCACTTTTATGTTTACACATACATATATATATATATATATATATATATATATATATATATATATATAGATAGATAGATAGATAGATAGATAGATATATGATTCATTGAATAATATATAAATATTTTAGAATTACTACTTATTTTCATACTGATCCTTTCCAGCTGCCTAATCAGACTCCTAATGTTAAGATGAAATTCATCAAGGAAGGTGCCTTACCATTTTTAACCCAAGTACTTTCAATTTATTCCAAAATAATTTCAGGGTGAAATTACAAAGACAAACTTATTGTAACTGGAATACAACTGCATTCCATTGTGATTGTGATGATGCCAGGTTTTATGTGTTAATAATCACAGAAAAAGGAATATAAAATTCAATTTCCAGAACAATAGGTTAAATTCAACAAATTTGACAGCCGAATTATGCAAAATAGAAAAATTATTTGTATAGTAGAAAATATTGTTTTAAATTGATTAATTCATGTAAGTGTAAGTAATTTACATAATTATTTTATTGGTGTAGTATTCTAGACTATTTATTCCGTAGAATATTTGTGGTAATTCCAGCAAAGAACATCACGTGGTGTATATTATGTCACCATTGTTATTCTTACATTAGCAACACAATGGGGAAGATAAAGGAGCTTAATGTTGACTTGGGACAGAGAATTATCAACTTCCACAAGTCAGGAAATAGTTACATCACTATCCCTACATCTATAGAATTTTATAAAGAAGTTTAAACAGTTTGGCATTACAGAGAATTTGCCTGGATGTGGAAGAAAGCCTAAATTGTCATCAAGAACTGCATGAAAACTGTGTCACAAGATTAATATATATCAAAGAGTTGTTTTGATAGACATTTTTCAAAAGTCTGGGTACAATAGGTATCAGTGTAAGTACTTGCACAATATAATTTTGTTTAAATAGAAATGGTTTGTATGGACCATGATGGACCCCACATCACAAACCATGTCACATTGTTGCTCGGTTTAATTTTGCCAAAATATTCTTGGACATAGAAAATTGCTTTTGGGAATAAGTACTATGGAGTGATGAAGCAAAAATTAAGCTTTTTTGGCAAAATGATGTAAAAAAGATTTGCCTCAAGAAAGGTAAGGCTTTCCTTCCAAAGAACACAGTGGCAACATTAAAACATAGAGGTGGCTTGATGATGTTTTTGGGTTGTTTTAGCTCAAGGTGGAAAGTTTGAATAAATCATTGGTCAGTAAAAAGCCTTCAGGAATTAGAACCTGTAACCATTGAAGAATGGAAGAAAATGCCAGAAAAGACTTGTTTAAATCTCATCAAAAAATTTAGAAAACAATTGCAGCAAGTTATAATGATGAGAGGCCATGCTACTGACCATTAATATTGTGAAAAATATTTCAATTTTTTCTATTTTTCATACTGAACAAATAATTTTGTCTTTTCCTATTTTGCATGAATCACCTTTCAAATTTGCTGTATTTAACCTATTGTTTCGGAAAATTGAGTTTTCTATTACTTTTTATGCTTATTACCATGTAAAAAACTTGGCATCATATAGACATCAGATTCTGAGAAATGGATTGAAATATTCAAAAGTGATGGGTGTACGAATAATTTCATTGTTGACTGTGTATATCTATACATACATACATACATATATATATATATATATATATATATATATATATACACACATGTGTGTGTGTGTGTGCGTGTGTGTGCATGCAGGGAAATGTTGCATTTTCAGCATTTTCTTTTTTTGCTAAAAAGCCATCTATCAAGGAAGTTTGACCTGGTTTGGATCAAGTAGATCAGGCCAAGAAATATCCATATCTATATATGTTTGCCTGTCTGTCTGTCTCTTTCTCTCTCTATATATATATACATCAAGGAAGGATACATATCTCTATTAATTTTATATATCCTCTTGCTTTAGTGCAGAATAAGAAGACACACACATGCACACACATACATATACACACACCATATCTCTATTTCACTCTCTCTCTCGCTTGTTCTCACTTTCTATACATACATACATATATATGTGTGCGTGTGTGTGTGTATATATATAATAATGGACTCTCCCGTCGGTTTTGACATATGAGGATCTGACAGCTTATTGATTCAGTTATGAAAGTTTATGTGATAATTTATATATATACGGGTCTATCAATGAAACTTTGAAGTTGTAATGCTGAAGGTAACATCAATCAGCGGAGTGACAAATCTTTTACTCATATTAATTATATATATATATATATATATAATATATATATATATATATATATATATATATAAACATACATGCATATACATCAAGGAAAAGGATACATCATTCTTAAAGTTTGTCTGCTCTGATTGGATCTATTGCATCAGGCCAAGAAATTTTCATCAATATCTCACATATATCCCCATATTTATACGTGTCTGTCTGTCTCTTTCTCTCTCTCTCTCTCTCTCTATATATATATATATATATATATATATATATATATATATATATATATATATATATATACATACATATATATATATATATATACATATATATATATATATATATATATATATATATATATATATATATGAACATACACATTTATATACATAAGGGAAGAATACATATCTTTTTAATTTTATATACCTACTTGACTTAGTGTATTTAGTATGTTTTGTATGCTTTAGAATTCAATTGGAAGACAGACACACAAAAACAAACTGCACACATCTATCTATGTATCACCCCCTCTCTCTGTGTCTCTCTCCCTCACTCTCTCCCCCTTTCTCTCTCTCTCTCTCTCTCTCTCTCTCTCAATATATATATATATATATATATATTCATTTCATGTAATCCTTTCTTTCTCCATTATACATGATTTTACTGAATTTCTTGTTCGAGGTAATTAAATTATTCTTTGAGAATTTCCAGTCTTTATGTTTGCTGATCCTGCAGCTCATCTGAGACAATTAATGCCAATGCTCCTTTTATTAAGGTCACTTTGAACTTTGGAGGGCAGGGAAATCTACTTTGGCAACTTTGGAATCTGTGTTTACCCAAGAAAAAATGAAACAACTGGATTCAGATCTCATGGCAAAACATTTTTCATTTGGATAAAAAAAAAAAGTCAAACCTTGACAAAATATGATGAAAAATAACAAAGAAAATCTTTGTCTGTTGAAGGCTTGGCTCATTTTAGTTTCTACAAAATTTTGTTTATTGATAAAAGCAAATTTACTTATTAACTAGAGTTGAGCTTGGAGGATCAATGTTCTAAAGCCTTAAATCTCGATTTGATCTCTGATAACAAGGGGCACAGCCAAGATGAGCGGATCAGAGAAGAAAAGCAATTAAAACCTGGAGCCATAGTTTCTGGATAATAATGGCAACATTTCGTTCACTTGGAATTATTAAATGGAAGGAGAAATCAATTTTTTTTCTTTTTCATTTGAGTATTTATTTTGTTTTTCACTGTCTGCTTAGGAAATTTTAACCTTTAATTTTGGTCTTTACGAATTCTAGGAGGAAAATAT